TCAAAGCTCCTTTTGCCATGTTTCTCAACTATCCTGACAAAGTTACCATTTTTCTTTCTGTCGTAGTTGCACGTGAAGAACTTATTCTCTATCCTCACCATTTGTTTTCCCATCGGAGCTCATAAAATTCCAATACTGTGTCGTCTACATCTTTATGCAGACCTTCATGATTCCAGGAACTGTTTTCATGTCCAATCTCCAGCCACGCAGCTGCTGTTGCTCCTGCTATCACACCAAATAACTCGTTGTCACTGTCGTAGAGTCGCTCACAGAGAGCGTCGCCGCCGCAGGAGATGGTCGTAGAGAGGAGCGGGAGGTCGTGGGCGTGAACCTTAGATTGAACTTCCATTTAATAAGCAACAAATAATTTTACCAAATAAAGGCCAGGATATACAATTTTTTGCTCCTCAAGTGAACTGCTTGTTAGTTGTAACAGAGTAGTATTTGAGTTGATACTTGAGAGAAAACTTAGAACTGAACTCTTAAAAAGGGAAGTAAGACATGATGATAGATAATAAGAGGAATAGTCAGCAATTCAATAATGGGGAAAATGTATACCAAAAAAGAAACAAGCAGAAACCTGGAATTCCATGCAGTGCCGAAATCACAGCTCAGCAACAAAAGAGCCCTGCTATGCTTCATGACCTCACTTTCAACAATATTAAATGAATTAGATAATCCACATAAAAAATTTCCAGCCACGGCTTGATCGTCTTGCTTGCAAAAGCTCCTATATTTCCTAATAGCAGCCATAAATGTGTTTCTAGCTACTGTATACAAAGGATGAAGGATCTGCGTTGATATGCCCAACTTATGATCTTGTAGCCAAAAATCTGAACTTTTGTTCCCCAGAATTTCATTGGTAGCACTTTCAGAACTACCCGCCTCTTCATTTAGTTTGGTAATCTGGGACGGGTGTATAAATCCAATCTCATCGCTAAATTCATGCAATAGGACAGAAAAGCGGTCAAGAAACTACCCAATACAACAAAACACGAAGAAGGTACTAATCTTAAGAGAAATGTTGCCCCTGTAATCACAATATCTATGTATGGGAACCGAATCTGATAAGAATTAGAACTTGCATATGCGATGAATACCCAGTTCCCACAAAATGAAAGCTTCCCTAGAAATAGAACTAGAACAGGAACTAGACGTTAATTGTTGGTTCCACTACAATGATCTTAAAACCATAACCATTATAAGTAGCAAGAGAAAGCATCCATAAAACCGTCAGTAATTAGAATCTGACAATGGGTTTTTTCTCATCAAATTGAGACGATGAGTTACATGAATTTTTCGGTGAAATCGAATTCGAACGAATGGGAGTCGAACTTTTTATAACTAGATACTTACATCAGAGGGTCGGAATCTAAAATCCGTTGAAATTGGCTCAGCAAATCCGCGGCCATCGCTTCGCAGTCAGAATTTTCAGCCATTTTTTCTGTTTGCCAACGGATTAAGGAGAGAGTTGGGGCACGACATATGCACATACGAACATATACGTTCTTCCTATATAGACTTTTTTTTTCCACGTATTTTTCAAAAATGTTTTTTTTTTTTTTACTTTTAGTTCGTTTTATGTTTCTAATTTTTTAAAACTAAGAACACGATTGGTAACCATTTTTTTAATGGGAGTAAAAAAAACATTTTTTTAATGTATTTTAAAAAACCAAGTTCAAATTTATTTATTTCACTGTTTTCATCTATTATTATAATTTTTATCCGCATTTTTCATCGGAATACTTTCAAGATATTCATTTTGGTCCTACTTTTAAGTGATCAATTTAATATCTATTTGTAAAATTTAAACATAAACTTTGTAGGTGATGAAAACATTTCAAGTAATTTAGTAAGTGTCATTCTAAACTTATCTGAATGGATGGAAATAATGAAAACAAACGAACAAAAAATAATCACTCTTTAAAAATACAGCGATTAAAATAGACATTTCGAAAGTTCAATCATTAAAATGAATAAAAATTGAGAGTACAATGACCAAAATTGATAGTTTGAAAATACAACGACTAAATGAATCAAAGGAAAATTATAATTTTGGTTATAGTATGAGTTTTAATATTTGACTTTTGAAGATAGAGGCACAACAGTCCTAGTTTTTCTTTTAGTACAGTAATGTCATATATAGTTGAACTATCTTTGTAACAACTTCATATTTAGTTCGAATCAAATTTTAGTAGTATGTTCAGAAATCATTTTTTTTTAATTTTTATTATATGTTGATCCGTCTCTAAATTTTATATTAAAAACCGTATGAATCCTTGTATTTTTTCTCTGACAAATTTGGTAGAAGTACGTATTTATTCGTTTACTTAACTAATAAATGTTTCCGTAGACAACTATTTGAAATCATATAATTTATTTTCACATACATTTAAAATATTATAACAATTTTTAAGCATAGTTAAAAAAAATAAAAATAAAAACAAAATATTTAGAAATTTTAAGAGAGTTTCTTTAGTGATAGCATTATTGACCCATGTCGAATTTCCGACTAGGTTTGCGAACATCTATTTCTTTGAACGGGACATGCAAGTTCATGGACAACATAGTTACCAATCAAAGGAGTGCATAAAAAGTCTTCGATGAAACCTATGTTAAGTAAATATACACTGTATATATGAACTGTGTGATACTAACAAATAGATTACAACGTAACTGCCTACAAACGATATAAATTTGAACAACTTGATGAACACCAAAACTTGATAAAAATAGTCGAGGCACGCTTCAATAGCGCTAATCTGAAAACAATTATTCGCTCTGCACAAGCAGACTACAGCGATCGTCTCAGCATGATACAACGACTAACTCCTGTAAAACTGCAACATCGAACTACTCGAATCTGGCAGAACTCTTAGATAGTTGCTTTCAACATAGACAAGAAGAACAACTAAAAAAAAAAAAAGTACTCTTGTGGGAGGAGGAGAATACCTAATTGTGGTATGCTTTGATATCTCAAAATGAACAAAACCACAGCTATATATAGTTGTCCAAACATGTAACTTATTACACAAAATTAAACTCATATGTAATCATTTTGCATATGTTATATAGGTAACTTTAACATGTATAAAGTCACAAATTAACAAAATAAATAAACGAATATTCCATTAAAATAAATAACTCCAAAATTAAAAGAAATAAAACCACAAACATATTCAAAATTACATTTTCTTTCGCACCTTTAAATCCAACAACCTCACCTATGATCGTCGAAGTTATTGATAAAAATCTTAAGTTAATTTGCAACTTATTCATTAAAATCTAAAAGTTTTTAAAAGATAATGAAATCAAACTTTACGCCAATCTGAACATAATTCAATTAGTTAAGTTACCTATATACGACAAAAATGTCGTGAGTTCGACTCCTCCCACCACAAATATTGTACTAAAAAAATCGAGCACGCATAAATTTTATTTATCTGCATGTGCATGCTTTGAATCTGTTACAAAAGTCAATATTTGGGCAAAGATATTGCATTTTCGGCTCACCAAATAACTTTATTATTATCTTCCCAAAAGAAAAAAAAGAGATATATATATATGTATATTAGTCCGCTACAAAGTGTATAAATAAATAAAATATAAATATTTGTTGTCCCTTTTTATAATAACATTGTGTGTGATAATAAATAGTTTTATTTTGATTTTTCTAAATGTCTTGTCATTTAAAAATAACCGATCATTTAACACGTGATACTGGTGATATTTCTAAGTACTTGATGATACTTAAAAATTAATGATGAATTTATGAATTTATATTAAATAATTAAAATTTTTATAAGTATTATATAATTTCTTAGAACAAAAATAGTAACATAATTATTTAGGAAATATTTTTTATACCATACAATAATTTCAAAGCATCTACGTGAGGGATTGATAATTATATTGAAACTTTAGAAAAAAAATTTGGGAGAGGAAGAAAATAACACCAAAGACATAAATATTTTACCTTTTTTGTTGACATGAATAAATATTTTGTAAATAAAAATAGAATAGAGGGACGTTTATATCATTATAGAAGTTGAAGAATGTTACAAAATTATTAAAATTCCAAAATATTTGAAATTATATCATTAATTTAATAGAAAAGACACTTATTACCATTTCAATGACGAATAATTAAAAGTACGACAAAAAATGATCATATGATTAAAAAATTAAAGATTAAGGACGAAATTATACGGATAAAATGGGTAACTTAACCTAGAAGAAGGTATAATTTAGGTTATAATTGTAAAGAGCAATCTCAAAGGTTACTTTACTCTAATTTCTTCTAATCTTCCCCCCTTTTTGGAGTTTATTATTATAAAGCTAAAAAGTAAACCCAGCACGTGACAAGTGCACGTGACGTATACCGTATTTTTGAGGCCTTAAAAACCATGGGGAACAGCGCTCCTCCTTTTAGCCTTTTATTTATTTTTTCTTTATTTCTCAGAAGTATTTATTTATTTTCTTCAGATTGCTTCTAATTTTTCATTTTCTCGGGAAAATCCCATCCCTCTTTCTTCCATTTTCCATCCCCCCCGAAGCTCTCTGAAATCTCATCGATCTCTCTCAAATTTTCTCTCTTGATTTTTCTCTCCTTTTAATCTCGTCGCTCGATACCAAGTTTCAGTTCCCAAAGATCTGGGGCTTTCTTCTGTCCCCTGTAGCTCTGAATCTGAGAAAAGATTATCGCACATACAATCTTGATTTGTTCTTATTCAGGATGGTTTGAACGCATAGCCTTTCGAGCGTCGGAATTGGCATCTAGGGTTAAGTGATTGGTGGTGGTGTTGATATCGGTGCAGTTCATGCGAGAGTCACGGTCTGGTTTCGATGAACATGGAAATCTCTTGTGATGTGGCGTCGTGGGACGCTGAGTTGTTGCAGCTGGCGGAGGTCTCTCCTCTGGCCCTCAAATCCAATCCTGATTTCGTCGAGAAGCTGTTTGAGCAGTGGCTTTCGCTTCCTGGCACTAATCGCCTGGTACTCCTCATGTCGTAACCTTCATTTTCTTGCATTACAAAGTTCATAGAATTCACGAAATTGTTGAATCCAGGCTTTTGATATTTGGATGGCAATGCGGCCTTTATGATTTAGACTTGTGTAATCTTGACTTATTAAAGTCGTCATAGAAAGAGAAACTGAAGACCATTGTACCCCGAGCTGGGTGTCTCAATGTCAGTTTTGGGAACAGAGAGTTCCATTTCACTTTTTTCTTTTTGAATTTCCATTTTTCTGTCTTCGATTAGTTGGTGTTGCTTCATCCGTCCTATGCACTTGTACGTGGAATGCATTCAAATTCGTTAATTATCTGTTTTATCTCTTAGGTGACGTCTCTGTTAAACGATGCAAAGGCTGGTGTACCCTTGAATGTACCTGGAAATTCTTCTAGTCCTCATGCTTCTGCTAGCAATTCTCTGCCTTCTATATTTCCTGCTGGAAGTGCTCCTCCTCTATCACCGAGAAGTACATCCGGTTCCCCACGGGTGATGAAACAGAGGGTTGGCCCTTCTAATTTAGGCTCTCCACTGAAAGTGATCAGTGAGCCAATTAAAGAACCAATTCCGCAGGTTTGTTGCAATAGTTATTAATAATTTCAGAGCTATGCTGCAGTTTGACAGCATTGTTATCTGTGTTTTATCTATTAACGTTTATGCTTATCAGTTGAATTTGATTTCCTAGGATTGTGATGATAGTTTCTAATTGACCTAAAAGAGCACTTTAATCACTGCAGTTTTACTTCCAAAATGGACGTCCACCACCAATTGATCTGAAAGAGCAATGCTTGCTCAGAATCAATCAGGTCTTTTATGGACACTTGGATGGATTGCAGATCCATGGTGAGATGTCCCAAAAACTTATGCGTCATTTCTCCCATAGACACTAACTCTCCCTCTGTTATGCCAGAATTTAGGGCAATTACAAAAGAAGTATGCAAGCTGCCATCATTCTTTTCCACTTCTCTTTTCAGAAAGATAGATGTTAATAGCACCGGCGTTGTGACAAGGTAGGTCTCTCTTGTTGCTGGAGAATGTTGGTTTAGATTTATGAGACTTAATTAATTTCCTTTTTGTTGTCATCGTTTTTTGATATTCTTTAAAGAAGCATAGCTATTTCTTTTCTTTAATGAACCATCCATAGAAACTGTTGCAAAATATGCTCAATTTCTGCTCAAGATTATACATATATTTTTTTTGTTTGGATAAGAAATAGCTTTCGTTAGGAAGAATGAATATTACAAAGCCAGACCATACAAAAAAATAGGCTCAGGTACAGAAGGCAGCCTTCAAAAAAATTGTACATATTGAAATTTTATTGTTTCTGATTTTTATTTATATAGAACGTCACTAAAGAAAATGTTAAATGCCTTTTGAAACTCTTCTGGTTTAATTATAGAATCTAGAACTTCAATCTGACTTCATTTTATTTTCCCTGTCCATGGATGTGATGCTCTCCACAAAAGGTA